ATATATATATATATATATATATATATATATATATATATATATATAAAAAATGGTGTTTCTAAATCCTTCTAATTACTAACAACATTTTGTTTTTTGCTTGTAGATACTTTGTTTCAATAAATTCATTCTGTTTTTTGCCTTGAAAAAGTCCCTGTTGGATGAAATGTGTCAGCTAAAACTAAAAAAAAAAAAAAAAAAATCTATACTTTTCATGAAAATAACAAAGTAAAAATTCTTAGAAAAAAAAAACTTAGTTACCTCCCCTGAGGTTTCAAACGTGAAATTTAAACTATATAAACTTAACATTTTTCACTTTCACAGTTCAAAAATATTTAACTTTCAGATGGACACAACAATTTTGTCTTAAAAAAAAAAAAAAAAAAAAAAAAAATCAACACCCTGATGATGACATTGTACTCAGAATAAATGAATATGTATCAACATGTTAATTTTCTCCCTTCCTTTAACAAGGATACTAAGAAGCTTGTCTGTAAATATGAGAGGATCCTATTAAAAATTAGTAGACAAAACTTGTATAACTTATTCAATGAAACATGTCTTTATATATATATATATATATATATATATATATATATAATAAAAAGGCTTAAACACTAATATTCCATGGTCATAATTTATTCCATTGGAATATATTTTTATACAAATATATATGTATGTATGTATATATAATTATATATTTTGCATATGTATGTGTATATTTACCACTAATATTTTATATATATATATATATATATATATATATATATATATATAAAAAAAAGAAATATAATGTAGTGGTTCCAATGAGAGAAAAGTATGTATATTAAAAAGAAGAGAAGAGAGGTGCCGTAAACGTTTTTGGTTGTAATGTTGGTTTCTTGAATTCAAGAAAGAAATTCAGATTACCAACACACAAACAGAAAATGTCTCATATCGAGAATATTTAACATTGAACATGAGGAAAAATTAATTATTTTTAATAATATGTGGAAATCTCCACTTTTACCTGAAGACGGTCGCGAGACCAGAAACATGTGTCGTAAAATTATGTAAAACAAAGCATATTTTTTTTTAATAAATCCACATTACAACCAAAAACGTTTGTGGCACCTCTCTTCTCTTCTTTTTAATATATATATATATATATATATATATACACACACACACACACACACACACACTAGCAGCCATATTCAGCTGGTCGATCAGAAAAAGCATTCAATTAGCTTGGAGCATAAAGAGCATAATGTTTTGATGTAACAGAGTCTATCTTCTTCAATTACTTTAAAGTACTTTCATTAAAAAACATTTTGAATTATATAAATTTTAATTGATATAACAGAAGAAGTCTGTATTTTTTGAATTGAAGTTAGCCGAGGACATGAAGGGGTAAAACAGGCAACATGAAGAGCCAATTCAGACGACAATTATGTTGGAGTTTTTGAAATTCAATTTGTCAGTGTGCTACCAGGGATGTAAAAGAGGATACATTTATAAAGCAATTGTTAAGTTTGATGAAAATTGGCTGAAAGATCAACGAAAAATAAGAAAGAAACCAGTAAAAAATGGCCATTTTTTTTGCAATTTACACAGGTTTTCACTACATGGGTGGACATAATTATCAACTTAAATGACTGTTAAACAATCAACTTATTGTTGGCTACAATTGAGTGAAGTTTGTATTAGATTGCTTGGAAATTGAGGGAGTTTTTATTTTAAAATTTGTGTTGAGATTGATTTTTTTTTGTGTTTTTTGCGAAATGCAGTGGAGTAGAAATGAAAACGTGGTATCATTGAGCCTGTCATGATTTAAGTAAACTACATACGAAATCTGAACAAAATCGGAGGAAAAAAATTGAATTTATCGATTTTTGATTGGCTTTATTATTGATTTTTTAAAATTATTGATTTTTTTTATCCGAAGAACCTATCTCTTACATTGTACAATGCATGTGCCAAGTTTGGTCAAAGTCGGTTGGATGGATCTCGAGTGAAAAGGTATCACACAGACACATAGACATCCTCTGTTTTTATATATATATATATATATATATATATATATATATATATATATATATAGTGTGTGGACATAGGAATCAACACCACATGGTGAGTCACAGTTTTATGCTTCAATGTGATCTTCAGACGCACAGACACCCACAATGACAGAGACACACAAGATCTGTGTGCTGGAATATATTCAGCTATTTTGAATAACTTGAGAACAGGTTGTGCAGTCATGATTTAAGTTGGCAATCAAAGGAGACCTTACTCATCAGGTATGCTCATACACTCCCATGGGGTTATGCAGTCCAGAGAGAGACTGTTGAGTAAGTGTGTGTACTATGCAATTGTTGCATCCACCAGGTAAGCTATTCAATCAACAAAATCTCGAACAGTGCCTGAGAGAAAAAACACTGCACCACCCCCGACTACAGTCCGTACCAATTCACTTTCAGAATGAGAATAGTGACATGAAAAAAAAATATTGTAAAAAAAAAAAAAAAAAAAGGTTCTTTAAATATCAGACTGGATTGACAAGTTCGGAAAAAAAAAAAATGAACGAAAGGTGAGTGTTAGTAAGTGATCCGGAGGAATCATGCATAGAGGAAAGACTCGCCACTGTTTTCTGGAGTGGGGGTGGGGAAACACCTCACTAAGTGGGACAAAGAAGGATGCCGACAAAAAAATAGTTGAAAGGGAAATAAAAAAAAAAAATGATAAAAATAAAATAAAATAATACAAAAATAAAAAATAAAAATAAAATAAAAAATAAAAAAAAAAAAATAAAAATAAAAATAAAAAATAAAAATAAAATAAAAAAATAAAAATAAAAATAAAAAAATAAAAAAATAAAAAAATAAAAATAAAAAAATAAAAAAATAAAAATAAATAAAAATAAAAAAAATAAAAATGCAAATGAGATGCATGCAAAGGATTGAAAAAACTGTAAAGGTAGAATACTAAAGTTCACTCAATACAAGGCTCGAGAGCCTCTCAAAGTAGATGGTTACCAAATGCAGTGTTTGATATGAATATAAGAGGAGGCAGTAGGAAGTGAACATTATGACAATATGGAGGTTAGAAAATGACCGAGCCTTGACTTGAAGAGATTAATATACTAAAATTATACTAATATAATATACTAATGTTCATTTTTCAAAATAAATTAATTAAAATCTACTGTAGTAAGCTACACTAGTAAAACAAACTGTACTTTGTACACCCTTACCTGTTGGCACTTCTTCCCAAAATTTGGTTTTGATCGGACATGGCTGTTTTAGAAAATGTGACAAACATACTAACAGAAGTCATAAAAAATAGATAGATATCAAATTACATTAGAAAAATCACTAAACTTCCCTGACATTGGACGAAAAATCCACAATTCCCAGGTTGGCTATCAACCTTCTTTGACATGTTAAATAAACAAAATGGAGGGTGTTAGTGTGTGACCCAGTGGAATCATACATGGAGGAAAGAGTTACCACCGCTTTCTGGAGGGGGAAAATTCCCCACACAAAAGAAAAAACTCATTGACACAGACAAAAAAAAAAAAAAAAAAAAAAAAAAAAAGGGTTGGTAGAAATTTAAAAAAAAAAAAAAAAAAAGAAAAAGTAAAAAGGTTGGTAAAAAAAAAAGGTTGGTAAAAAAAGGGGGCTGGTAAAAAGGTTGGTAAAAGAGAGGGTTGGTAAAAAAAAAAAGGATGGGTGAAAAATGAAAATGCAATTGAGAAGCACACAAGAGAGAAAAAAAAACTGTGGAGGTAGAATACTGAAATTTTTATACTAAAGTTCACTCAATAAAAGCCATGAGAGCCACTCAAAGTAGAGAGTTACTGAATGAAGGTGTGTGATATGAATGTAAGCGGAGGTGGTCGGAAGTGAAGATTAGAGGATATGAAAAATGGATAACGACCGAGTCTTGACTTGAACAGATTAAGATTGTAATGTTCAAGGAAGCATCCATGTGGGAGTCTGTTCTTGTGGCGGGGAGGCGGGACAAAGCAGTCTTCTTATGCTTGGAACACAGAGGAAATGAGGGCGATTCAATTCTGTGTATGTGGCATAGGGGCGGGTGTCCTAGTTGTAAATGTCTCAAAGGGTGGTACCGAAGTTCATCAGCACATTTTGCTATGGAAATAGTGATGACCAGTTTTTCAAGAGAGCTAGCCTTGAAAATCAGCATTTAATTTTTTTTTTTTTTTTTTTAAACTTAGGTTCAAACACTGATGAAGTAAGTTTCTTTGTCATGAGATATGACCCCTTACCGCCCCAAATATTTTTTTTATAAGACATTTGTTCTTTCAAAGGCAGTTGTTGAAAAGAGTTACCTCCCCTTTCCAACTGCCATTTGACTTTGAAGTAAGCTTTTGTGGAAGGAGGGAGATTTCTTTTTCTTTTTTTTTTTTTTTTAAAAATATGTTTTGTGAAACCTCAGACGTAATAAATAAATAAATAAATAATAATAAAAAAAATAAAAGTGTGTTAGGGAAGGGTATAGTCTATATTTTTTGAGCACAGGAAAAAAAAAAAAAATCTTGCTTTACAGTTTAAACCAGTATAAACAGTTTCAAGAAAGGGTCAGAGGTAAACAAAATATTTTTTTTTTGTCTGAATTCCAACATCCAGAATAAAGAACAAACAGGGTTCGTTTTTCTTTTTTTTTTTTCATTTGAGGGGTTGCTTTTGCTCCTCTTCACAGTTGAACACATCCGGTATGGGAAAGTCTACATGGGTCATGCAACCAAAGCGTCTAATGTCTTTGTGCCGTCAAACTGGTCACCTTCGTGAACCTGTAAACACTTGGAAATGGTGCAAATATGGGGAAGGTTTTCCAAAAGTAATTGGAAAAATGAACAACAAAATTATTTTTTTTTTTTTTTTAAAAGGGCATTTTGCGAAACATTCAGTCATTTAATGACAGCATTTCTTCCTGTTTGTGAGCTTTTACGGGTCCTATCAGGTGTGGCAACTACAAACAAGCCAAAAGACACATTTTCACTCAGACTTGGAGTCGGACACCTGAACGGTACTAAGAGAAGACAGTAGCACATCCAGCTTACTGGCTAATCGGTTTTCCATTTGTTGCAAGCGCTCATCAACAGTTTCCAGAATCCGAGACTCAGCTTGAGAAATTTGTTCTTTCACCATTGAATCCATAGATTCAGGAGAGACTAAGGGATTCAAATTAGTGCCACCAGGTCTGAAAAAAAAAAAAAAAAAAAAAAAAGCAAATATGATTCAATACAGACGAGATATTAGAAAGACACTTTTCCTACATACACTCGAGTTTCCTAAAAGATATTTTTGTACATTTCCTCCCATTTCCAAAATGACATTTTTTGTAACCTTACTCCGGTTTCCAAAAAGAAAAAATTTCATACAATTCTTCCCGTTTCCAAAAAGAAACATTTCATACAATTCCTCCTGTTCCCAAAAAGAAACATTTCATACAATTCCTCCCGTTTCCAAAAAGAAACATTTCATACAATTCCTCCCGTTTCCAAAAAGAAACATTTCATACAATTCCTCCCGTTTCCAAAAAGAAAAATTTCATAAATTCCTCCTCCGTTTCCAAAAAAGACAATTTCATACAATTCCTCCGTTTCCAAAAAGAAACATTTCATTTAATTCCTCCCGTTTCAAAAGACAATTTCATACAGTTCCTCCTCAAAGACACTTTCCAAAAAAGACAATTTTCCTAAAAGACACTTTTCACCCACTTCCTAAAAGACACTTTTCCGACACCCGCTCCAGTTTCCTCAAAGACACTTTTCTGACACTCGCTCCGTTTTCCTAAAAGACACTTTTCTGACACTCGCTCCGGTTTCCTAAAAGACACTTTTCCGACACCGGCTCCGGTTTCCTAAAAGACACTTTTCTGACACTCGCTCCAGTTTCCTCAAAGATACTTTTCCGACACTCGCTCCAGTTTCCTCAAAGACACTTTTCCGACACCCGCTCTGTTTTCCTCAAAGACACTTTTCCGACACCCGCTCCGGTTTCCTAAAAGACACTTTTCCGACACCCGCTCAGGTTTCCTAAAAGACACTTTTCCGACACCTGCTCAGGTTTCCTAAAAGACACTTTTCCGACACCTGCTCCGGTTTCCTAAAAGACACTTTTCCGACACCTGCTCTGTTTTCCTCAAAGACACTTTTCCGACACCGGCTCCGGTTTCCTAAAGGACACTTTTCCGACACTTGCTCCGGTTTCCTAAAGGACACTTTTCCGACACTCGCTCCGGTTTCCTAAAAGACACTTTTCCAACACTCGCTCTGGTTTCCTCAAAGACACTTTTCCGACACTCGCTCCAGTTTCCAAAAAGAATTTTCTTACACTCACTTTGGTTCCCTCGATGACGCTTTTCCTACACTCTCTCCCGTTTTCAAAAAGACACTTTTTGCACATTTGCTCCAATTTCCTAAAAGACATTTTTCCTACACTCACACTCTTTCCAAAAAATAGTTTAGTTTCTTTCACCATAATTTTTTTCTTTAACCGAAAAAAAAAAAAAAAGTTACCAAAATCCATCATGAGTACTTACCCAGGTCGCAAATTAGTCACATGGCCACAAATTCCTTGAAGGGTCGAGTACATTTCGTTATTATTAACATTACTGTCCTTGTTTCCAATCGACGAAAGAAGTTCTGCAATGTTGCTTCCTGAAGATGTCGATCTTTGTGCAGCTGCTAACAGGCAATTCATGTCTACAATTGGCGTTTGGTGGTTCTGTGAGTGAAACAATATTGAATTTTTTTAAAAATAATTATTTGCTATTTGAATCATTAAACTGTTTTTAAAATAGTGGGAGTATTTTGAATGTTAAATAATAACATTTTTAATTTTACAAAAAAAAAAAAAAAAATAAAAAAAATTTATTGTATTAAGCTACACACCCTAGAAAACCAAACTGTACTTTGTACCCCCTCATCTATTTGCCCTTCTCCCCCAAATTTGCTTTTGTTCGGTCAATGTATGGCTATTTTAGAAGATGTGACAAACAGGCTGACGGAAGCCATAAAATATAGATGTCAAGTTACATTAGAAAAACCCATAAATTTCCCTGACATTAAATGAAAAATCCTCAGTTTCCAGGTTGGCTGTCAACTCTGGTAAATTAATGTATAAAAATTTATATCTTTTTGCTTGATGAACTGATTTTTGGTGGTTATTCAATTGGGACAAACGTTCTTGATAAAAAAAACATTTTGAAAAGAAATTGAATCATAAAACTTACCTTTTGGTAAGTTTCAATATTATCCAAAATTGAACTTGCCCTCTCTGAAGTTTCTGGATTCAGATCAGCGATTATCGACCGTAGTTTGGGAATATTCAGTGACCCCTGACATCCAACAGGTATAGGCACAGTTTCCACTCTCAGTAAAATACGATTCATTTTAATACTGCTTAGCTGACCCAAACACTGCAGGAAAAGATAAAAATGAACAAAAAAAAAAAAGAAGAGAAAATTAGAACACAAAAAATAAGCAAAAAACAAAATTACCAGACAAAAATAAAAAAAAACTGAATTACCAGACAAAAAAAGAGAAAAAACAGAATTACCAGACAAAAAAAAAGAGAAAAAAACAGAATTACTAGACAAAAAAAGATAAAAAAAACAGAAAAACAGACAAAAAAAAGAAAAAAAAACGAATTACCAGACAAAAAAAGAAAAAAAAAACTGAATTAAAAAAAAAAAAAAAAACAGAATTACCAGACAAAAAAAAAAAAAACAGAATTAAAAAAAAAGAAAAAACAGAATTACCAGACAAAAAAAGAAAAAACAGAATTACCAGACAAAAAAAAAAAAAAACAGAATTACCAGACAAAAAAAAGAAAAAGAATTACCAGACAAAAAAAAGAAAGAATTAAGACAAAAAAAAAAAAAATTACCAGACAAAAAAAAAAAAAAAACAGAATTACCAGACAAAAAAAAAAAAAAACAGAATTACCAGACAAAAAAAAAAAAACAGAATTACCAGACAAAAAAAAAAAAAAAAAAGAATTACCAGACAAAAAAAAAAAAAAAAAACTAGACAAAAAAAAAAAAAAAAAGAATTACCAGACAAAAAAAAAAAAAAAAAAAAGAATTACCAGACAAAAAAAAAAGAAAAAAGAAAAGAATTACCAGACAAAAAAAAAAGAAAAAAATTACCAGACAAAAAAAAAAAAGAAAAGAATTAAAAAGAAAAAAAAGAAAAAAAAAAAAAAGAAAAAGAAAAGAATTACCAGACAAAAAAGAAAAAAAAACAGAATTACCAGACAAAAAAAGAAAAAGAAAAGAATTACCAGACAAAAAAGAAAAGAATTACCAGACAAAAAAGAAAAGAATTACCAGACAAAAAAGAAAAGAATTACCAGACAAAAAAGAAAAGAATTACCAGACAAAAAAGAAAAGAATTACCAGACAAAAAAGAAAAGAATTACCAGACAAAAAAGAAAAAAAAAACAGAATTACCAGACAAAAAAAAAAAAAAAAGAATTACCAGACAAAAAGAAAAAAAAACAGAATTACCAGACAAAAAAAAAAAAAAAGAATTACCAGACAAAAAAAAAAAAAAAAAAAATTACCAGACAAAAAAGAAAAAAAAAAAATTACCAGACAAAAAAAGAAAAAAAAAGAATTACCAGACAAAAAGAAAAAAAAACAGAATTACCAGACAAAAAAGGAAAAAGAAAAGAATTACCAGACAAAAAAAAAAAAAACAGAATTACCAGACAAAAAAAAAAAAAAACAGAATTACCAGACAAAAAAAAAGAAAAGAATTACCAGACAAAAAAAAAGAAAAGAATTACCAGACAAAAAAAAGAAAAGAATTACCAGACAAAAAAAGAAAAAAAACAGAATTACCAGACAAAAAAAAAAAAAAAAACAATTACCAGACAAAAAAGAAAAAAAAAAAGAATTACCAGACAAAAAAAAAAAAAAAAGAATTACCAGACAAAAAAGAAAAAAAAAAAGAATTACCAGACAAAAAAAGAAAAAGAAAAGAATTACCAGACAAAAAAAGAAAAAGAAAAGAATTACCAGACAAAAAAAGAAAAAGAAAAGAATTACCAGACAAAAAAGAAAAAGAAAAGAATTACCAGACAAAAAAGAAAAAAAAAAGAATTACCAGACAAAAAAAAAAAAAGAAAAGAATTACCAGACAAAAAAAAAAACAAAAAAAAAGAAAAGAATTACCAGACAAAAAGAAAAAGAAAAGAATTACCAGACAAAAAAGAAAAAAAAAAGAATTACCAGACAAAAAAAGAAAAAAAAAAGAATTACCAGACAAAAAAAGAAAAAGAAAAGAATTACCAGACAAAAAAGAAAAGAATTACCAGACAAAAAAGAAAAGAATTACCAGACAAAAAGAAAAGAATTACCAGACAAAAAAAAAAAAAAAAGAATTACCAGACAAAAAAAAAAAAAAATTACCAGACCAAAAAAAAAAAAAAAGAATTACCAGACAAAAAAAAAAAGAAAAGAATTACCAGACAAAAAAAAAAAGAAAAGAATTACCAGACAAAAAAAAAAAAAAAAAGAATTACCAGACAAAAAAAAAAAAGAAAAGAATTACCAGACAAAAAAAAAAAAAAAGAATTACCAGACAAAAAAAAAAAAAAAGAATTACCAGACAAAAAAAAAAAAAAAAAGAATTACCAGACAAAAAAAAAAAAAAAAAGAATTACCAGACAAAAAAAAAAAGAAAAGAATTACCAGACAAAAAAAAAAGAAAACCAGACAAAAAAAAAAGAATTACCAGACAAAAAAAAAGAATTAAGACAAAAAAGAAAAGAATTACCAGACAAAAAAAAAAAAAAAAGAATTAAAGACAAAAAAAAAAAGAAAAGAATTACCAGACAAAAAAAGAAAAAGAAAAGAATTACCAGACAAAAAAGAAAAAGAAAAGAATTACCAGACAAAAAAGAAAAGAAAAGAATTACCAGACAAAAAAAAAAAGAAAACCATTACAAAAAAGAAAAAAAATTACCAGACAAAAAAAAAAAAAAGAATTACCAGACAAAAAAAAAAAAAAATTACCAGACAAAAAAAAGAAAAGAATTACCAGACAAAAAAAAAAAATTACTAGACAAAAAAAAAAAAAAAATTACCAGACAAAAAAAAAAAAACAGAATTACCAGACAAAAAAAAAAAAAAAAAGAATTACCAGACAAAAAAGAATTACCAAAAAAAAAAAAAAAAAAAAGAATTACCAGAGAAAAAAGAAAAGAAAAGAATTACCAGACAAAAAAAAAAAGAAAAGAATTACCAGACAAAAAGAAAAAAGAAAAGAATTACCAGACAAAAAAAAAAAAAAAAGAATTACCAGACAAAAAAGAAAAAAACAGAATTACCAGACAAAAAAAGAAAAAAGAAAGAATTACTAGACAAAAAAAAAAAAAAAAAGAATTACCAGACAAAAAAAAGAAAAGAAAAAAGAATTACCAGACAAAAAGAAAAAGAATTACCAGACAAAAAAAAAAAATTACCAGACAAAAAAAGAAAGAATTACCAGACAAAAAAAAAGAAAAAAAAACAGAATTACCAGACAAAAAAAAAAAAAAAAATTACCAGACAAAAAAAAAAAAAAAAAAGAATTAAAAAAGAAAAAAAAACAGAATTACCAGACAAAAAAAGAAAAAGAAAAGAATTACCAGACAAAAAAAGAAAAAGAAAAGAATTACCAGACAAAAAAAGAAAAAGAAAAGAATTACCAGACAAAAAAAGAAAAAGAAAAGAATTACCAGACAAAAAAGAAAAAAACAGAATTACCAGACAAAAAAGAAAAAAACAGAATTACCAGACAAAAAAAGAAAAAAAAAGAATTACCAAACAAAAAAAAAAGAAAAAAAAAGAAAACAAAATTACCAGACAGAAAAAAAGAAAAAAATAACCCCGAAATAACCAGACAAAAAAAAGAAAAAAAAAAAAAACAGAATTATCAGACAAAAATAAAAAAAATAAAAAATTACCAGACAAAAAACAGAAAAAAAATTATTAGTAATAGTAACACAATTTACTGTAATGATTTGGTTTGCTTATAACATTTTATTTTTTTTCCTAGCAGACTCAGGCTAATCCGACGTCTTGACCTACCAGCACAGCATTTGGTCATCTCTCATCTGTAATATGGGCTATATTAGGTGCAAAGTTAGATTCTTGGCACATTTAAAATTAAAAAAAAAAGTCTTATGTGAAAGCAAATACGGTATATTGAAATAAATTAATATGTACACTATTTACATTATTCAGACTATTGTCCTCATCATTGTCGCCAATTACAACGTTTCGGCCGTTGTATGATCTGGCCTTCTTCAGTGATACTAAATTAATATCGTTAGAAAATGAGCCTCACTAGATCAATTACAATCAAGTAGTGAGTTCAATTCTCACCGGGGGCCTCATACTTTCAGCCTTGTGCCATACATGCTTAGTAAATCACTAAGTAGCATCAAGTCAAGATTTTATGGCATTTCAACATGCGAACAGACTGAATCCTTGAGGTCACAAAACCAGTCGTCAAAAAAATTGGAAAAAAAAAATAAATAAATAAAATCAAGGAAATGGCCTCCTCATCGATGTGGCCGTTCCTGGTGATCATAATATCAAAGCCAAAGGAACTGGAAAACTTAAAAATACACAAACCTCCGGATTGAGCATTAATTACATTATTCAGACTATTGTCCTTATCAATGTCGCCATATTTATTACAATGTTTCGGCCATTGTATGCTCCAGTGGCTGGAATGCCAAACTAAACCCTTTATTTCGCTCATTGGGGTAGACTGTTCTAGTTCCACGTGCCATGTTTAATGGATGTCAATTATCAGTTATCTCCTGCTAATTTCCCTCTGAAAGTTCTCCACTGCCTTAACCGGGTATTGAACTCACACTCTTTGGGTCCTGTCACTGGATCTAGCCAACACCTTTATCCACTGTGACATGTGTCCTTGAGGACATCTGTGTATGAATTTCTGGGTATTAGAAACCTAATGTCTTCAGCAACCATTTTTACCAGTGCTTATATTGCAATTTTTTGCTGTTATCATTGCATGTTTTTTTTACCAGAGCTCATATTGCAACTTTTGTTATTATCGCTTTTATCGTATTCATTTCTATGCTTGATCGGCTCAGGAGATTTTTGTGGCACGTGGAACAAGAACTGTCTACCCCAGTGAGTGAAATAAAGGGTTAAGTTCGACAACCACCTGAAGAAGGCCGGAACATACAATGGCCGAAACGTTGTAATAAATATGGCGACAAAGATGAGTACAATAGTCTGAATAATGTAAATAATGTACCTAATACCTCATCTCAGAAATATAGACAGATACTGAAGGGCCGAAACATTGTAATAAATATGGCAACAAAGATGAGGACAATAGTCCGAATAATGTAAATAGTGTACATAATACCATATCTCAGAAATATAGACAG